GCTAGAGAGTTCGTCAACTTATATTTAGCAATAATCCTATTTACAATGCTTTTATCAATTAATAAGCAATTAGCAATTTCGCGAGAAACCTTTCCTTGTTAAGAAAGATTAATCACGGCTTCGCGTAACTGAAAGCTTGTATGTTTCGGCATTGCGATAGACAATAGACTGAACCTTAGTTAAAGTAAATATTTACGAAGGAGTTTCATAAGAAACGTTTTCATAAGAAACGTAAACAAACCGGGCTCATAAAGTCACAACAAGAATACGGCTCAATACTTTTGAACACATGTAAATATTATATGACTAAATAATTAGAAACTATGTAATTTTAAAATTTTGTAACTGTACTATTATTTGTAAGAATGTTATGTCAACTATTTTATATAATTAATTTTTAGAGTAAATCAATATATTATCATGTATCTTAAAAAGACACTATGGCTCGAAACTTTTGCACGCCACTGTATATGGTATATACATAAATTTAGTCTCTACGTGGTCATGTAATGATATAAATGTATGTAATGATATGTAATGATATAAATGTATTATATGTTGGGTGAGTGCAAAAGTTCGTGCGGAGTTTCAATAGATGGAGTTATAAGCGTCGTAAAGTGTTGTCATTAATACTTCCATCTACATATTATATAACGTTGGAAAGGTGACGTCTTCAGCTGTTATTAAAAAAAAAATCATTTGTTTTCATACAAACTGCTTCGAGAAATATCACTTTAAAAATGAGTATCGATAAGGTGCATTTACGGCATGTTATGCTTTACAAGTTTCGGAAGGGAATAAACGTTGCCGCAACCGTAAAAAACATTCAGGATGTTTATCAGGATGAAGCACCAGCTAAACGAACTGTGGAAAAATGGTTTGCTAAATTTCGGCGCGGAGAATTTAACCTTGAAGACGAGCCACGCTCTGGTCGACTTTCTGACATTGATGACGATGTTTTGCGTACTTTAGTGCTCAATAATCCGCGAATTTCAACAGAAGAAGTTGCTACTACTCACTAAACGTTGACCGATCAACCGCTTTTCGGCGTTTAAAAAAGATGGGATTCGATTTGAAGCTCGATATATGGGTGCCCCATTTGCTGACCGAGAAGAACAAAATCAAGCGAATTTCTGCAGCCGTTTCTTTACTCGGGCGGCTCAATAACGAGTCGTTTTTGGATCGACTAGTGACGGGCGATGAGAAATGGGTCCTCTACAACAATGTTCAGCTCAAACGGACATGGAAACAATCAGGTGAGCATGGTGACGCAATGCCAAAGGCCAGTTTGCACCCGATGAAGGTGATGCTCTCTGTTTGATGGGATTGCAAGGGCATAATCTATTTCGAGCTTCTCCCCGCTGGCGAAACGATTGATTCGGACAAGTACTGTCGCCAATTAACCAATCTCAATCGAGAAATAAAAGAGAAACGTCCGATTTTGTCAAATCGCAAGGGAGTCGTCTTTCATCATGACAACGCCAGACCACACGTTTCGAAAAAGACGCTGCGCAAACTGAAGAGCCTGAAATGGGATGTCTTAACGCATCCACCGTATTCTCCTGATATCGCACCATCTGACTATCACTTGTTCCGGTCATTGCAAAATTATTTAAATGGAAAAAACTTTGATTCTTTGGAGGCCTTAAAAAACGACGTCTCTTCGTTCTTCGAATCTAAACCGCGCAGTTTTTATGATCGAGGCATCCGTATGCTGCCAGAACGTTGGGAAAAGATTATAGAAAACGATGGAGAATATATCATTGATTGAATAAAGATTTTTGTTTGCCTAATCACTGTGTGACTTTTACTCACAAACTCCGCACGAACTTTTGCACTCACCCAATATGTAATGATATAAAATTATACAAAAGAAACTATTAAGCTGTTAAATGAAGAAAATAAATTATTTCAACTATATATCCATATCACGGGCTGTTATAAATAAACAGTATAAATATAAATTATTAATTTTGCATTTGTACAACAGCATTTTTTTCAGTTTGTAATCGTATGTACATTCGGTTTATAGTTCATTGTGCTGCATGCAAAGATTTTTAAACATTGCTCTTTATAAAATACCAAGTGCCCGACAATATCACAATACAAGCAACAAGAAGAAAATTCTGTTTGAATTCTCACAAGGAAACATATGGAAATGGTCTGCCTTAGATTTGAAAGAGCTTGTAATCTAGACTAAAAGAAATGATGCGTATTTTTTTATGAGCACCCAATTTAAGGAGTGCACCCCGTTTAAGGAGTAAAACATTCCTTTGAAAGAAATCGGCGTTTATTTTTCAAAGCATCATGTATTGTGAAAAATATAAGAAGTAGAAAAAAATTTTCTAAATAGAAATTTAATTGTTCGAAGAGTACTTTATAACAGCGTTTTTAGTTAAAAAAATGTTAAAATGTAAACCATATATACCACATATCAATTTCCAATTTCTTTATAATTTAAAAATTTCGTTTTCTACCAAACGAAAAAGGATATTTTATGCCGAATCCAGTCATATATAACAATAATATTTTTCGACATACAGACTTTTCAGAAAATAGGTGGGGACACCTTTATACGTCCGTAATATTATTTATGTATATTCACTTACCGTACTTGTTACATATGCAATACGGTTTCTTCGAATTTGATCATAGTAAGAGACGATTAGTATTGATATACAAAATAACAATAACAATAACAATAATAATACTGATCATTTTATACATAACAGTAGTCGTATATTTCAACAGTTTGTCTTTATAAAAGATTTTTATATAATATATTGGGTCTGGGAAAAAGTTCGTGGCGTTTTTCCCGATAGATGGCGTGCAAATAACTCAGGAAACACAGATCGCAGCGATACCACTAAACGCTCGTTGGAAAGGTGACACTTCGAGCGTTACTTTGAGTGTATAAACATCGAAATTGATGCAGTGGTTGGAAAGTTGTTTGCGTTTGAAAATGGAGAAAAGTAATGAAAAATTGCGCTATATTTTGCAATATTATTACGACAAAGGGAAGAACGCTGCGCAGGCTTGTGAAAAAATTTGTGCTGTGTACGATGAAAGTACTTTATCAAAATCTGCTGCGCGGAAATGGTTCGCTCGCTTTTGTTCTGGTAATTTTGATGTGAAAGATGAGTTACGCTCTGGTCGTCCAATCACTGAAAAAGCTGATGAAATTCTTGAAAAAGTCCAGCAAGATAAGCATATCAGCAGTGTCGATATTGGTATGGAGTTAGGCATTGACCACAAAACTGTTTTGAATCATTTACACAAAGCTGGCTACAAAAAGAAGCTCGATGTATGGATTCCTCATGAGTTGAGCGCGAAAAACATGATAGACCGAATTAACATTTGCGATGCGCTGCTGAAACGCAATGAAATCGAGCCATTTCTGAAACGTGTCATAACCGGTGATGAAAAATGGATCGTACGACAATCGGAAGCGTAAAAGATCGTAGATAAGGGATGGTGAGCCGTCACAAGCGTTCGCGAAGCCAGGATTGACGCCAAAAAAGGTGATGCTGTGTGTGTGGTGGGACTGGAAGGGAATCGTCCACCATGAGCTACTTCCAGTTGGTCAGACGATTGATTCTCAACTCTACTGTAGACAACTAGAGAGATTACGCCAGGCAATTGAAAGAAAACGGCCCGAATTGAATAATAGGAAAGGTGTTGTCTTCCATCATGACTACGCCCGACCACACACTTCTTTAATGACCCGTCAAAAATTGCGAGAGCTTGGTTGGGAAGTTTTGATGCATCCACCGTATAGTCCAGACATCCTCTGACTATCACTTGTTCCGATCTCTGTAGAACTCTCTCAATGGAATTAAGCTGGTTTCAAAAGAAGCCTGTGAAAACCACTTGATTCAGTTTTTCAACCAGAAACCACAGAAGTTCTTCACCGATGGCATTATGGCTCTACCCGAAAAATGGTGAAACATTGTCGATAATAATGGAGCATATTTGGTTTAAATAAATTCATTTTCACACTATAAGAAAACCAATTGAATTTTACTAAAAAAACGCCACGAACTTTTTCCCAGACCCAATATAAGGCCTCTGAAAGCAAAATTTTATTTATAAATAATATATAAAATAATATATATAAAATTATATATAAAATATATATATAAAATATATATATCTAATATATATAATAATATATATATAAAATTTATTTATAAGAAGTTATATACCTATTTTTATACGATGTAACATAATTACTATGGCAGAAGCGATAGGAGTTGCAAGAACGGTCATGTTTGTCAATGCAAAGTTTCCACTTGACTTGTTGTCTGTTCTGATATTCATTGTAAATATTAAAAATCTACATATATATATATGTATATATGTGCACGCATGTGTGTGTATACATGACATATTGTATATGTTTTCTTGTCAAACGATTTCATGTCACTTCATTAATTCGTCTCGATAAGGACTATTGAAATATTCATTTGAAATAACCGACATATCAGCCTCGATATTTTGTGCAAATAGGTTATTAAAATATTTTAAATGTATGCAATATTGATTTATTATTTATTATCGACTATTCAAAGTAGACGGGACGATCTTGTCAAAGCAGTAAAGTGTCTACGAAGGAATTCGCATGATTAGAAAATAGTAATCTTATGCTAATTGTTAATCGGCTATTATGCCAATTTGTAGAACATCGGTATATAAAAGAAATAGAAATAATCTCGCGTGACATTTCACGTGTAGTTTCGTCAGTCATTCGAATTATCTGAAATTACTTTTCCAAGTTCAATATTGCGCTTCTTTTATGTACCGATAGCCGCAGTCGAGGCAACTTCGACGCAAAATCGTCAAAGACTGTACGATGGTTCGCAAACATTTGACATAAAACGAGAAAAAGAAATTATTCTACATTTTGCAATTCTATTTTTCAATCTCCCTGTCGTTTGTACTGCGAATGTTCGCGTATGTTATCATGGAACCAAATCGACTGGTGAGAAGTTTATACCTACCTGTGATTCTAGGGACCGAAAAATTGACTTTTCTGCTGATATAGCTAGCGACATGGGCGCCCATGGAATGGCCGACGATGTGCAGTTTCTCCGTATTAAAGCCTGTTTTTTCCATGTTGTCGAGAAACAGCGCAACAACGGCTCCAACCTGAACAATATTCTTCACCACTTTCGTGTACGTCCCGTTCGCCAATTTAGCGTAACTTAACGCGATGGTGTTGTGATTGTCTTGGTTGAGATACGCTGAAGAAGCGCAACGGCTTATTTAGTCGGCTTTCGATGGATGGTTGCTCATATCTTCTAACGCAAAAGGATATACCTTGCACCACCGTCCGTACGCTCTCCCTTTGCAGGTTCTCCGTGTAGCCATGAATGTACAGTACCGTCTTTCTGTTGGGATTCAGTCTGGTTTGCAGCGAACTAACGTTGTCCAGCGAATAATCAATGTACTCGTCCAGTGTTTTCCTAAGCGAGGTAAAGTTCTGATGCTTGAAAAATATAAATTTATAGAGAAGATTCTCATCTTATCTCGCGTCGAAGGAAACGTTCATATCGTTGGAGGAATGCAGAAGGTTCCTCCAGTGAACAAGCTAGTGAACTAAGGGCTACCTTTAGCAAGCTCCGATTAAACTAACCTTGCACTTTTAATAATCTTGCAAGATTTCAACTGAAGTTGCTGTAAGAAGAAATAGAAAGTGAGGAGCAAAGCAGCAGCTTCGGTTGGAGTCTTGCGAAGTTGTTAAAACGGTTATTTTAATCGGTTCTTGGTAAAAGAGTAATTAAAAAATTAAACAGTAAGTTACATCGATATTATAACTTTTTATAACCCAGAGTAACGCATATCCAAGATGACACACGTTATACATAACAGTTACATTGCGTTGAGTGTAAAAATAATAACATTGATGTAATGTTAATGTCAGTTGCTGTTTACTTGGTCTTTTATGTTGTTTCTTATACAAACATCAACTGTATAGATGATAAAATAAAGGTGTAAAAATACCTAATGTAATAACGTAGAAAAATGCTCTCGAGGTTCTCCAAGTCATCTCCATCTGTGAAAGGATAAATCATATATTCCGTGTTTATATTAAACGTTATTGCCCATTAATTATAGTATTGTAATTATGTAATTGGTTTTTGCTTGTGAGGTATTTTGTTCTTCCTTAACGGAAAGCGTACACATCGATACTTACCGTTCGCAATGGCGTACATGATTATAATAGCGAGTACGAATAGCCAAAAGACGCGAATCATCGTAAGTTCGAAGTTTCGCGAGAAATGATCCGCTTGAATTCCGAAGACCTGCGCGCGTGAACATATATTTAAAGAACTGTTGTTAATGTATGCGGTCTTTGTTTTACACGAGGTCTTGTTATCTAATATCGACCGGTTGCACCGCTTTTTTATGTGTATGCAAAATAAGAGTATCGCGCACGTGTCTAATGCATATAATGTATAATGCATACGAAGATACGTTCCTGCTCATCCTTCCTGCTCGGAGAGTTTTATGCACTAAACATCCCACACAACATTATGACTTCTTAAAGATATCTAAAAATCTCTATAATTTCTTAAAAAACGTTCAGAAGATACGAAATCTGTATTATGTTTTTAAGACATCTTATGTCCCGGTTTTGAGGTATTGTTTTAATCCTTTTAAGACGATATTTTATTTTTAAATTCTAATTATTTTATTTTATTCGTCTGTAGAAGTGATCATTGAGCAACATTTTACCAAAAATTTTTGTATTAAACTGAGTAGGGGGGAAAATTAATATGCGAAATGGTACATTTTAATACCAAAAGCAATAAGAATTCACAAGATCAGTCTTTTTGAAATATTTAGCAGTATATCACACATAGCACGTAATTACAGAAATATGATAGTAGACAGAGATATGACAGATTGCAATATATCAATAATATTATATATTATAATAACAATATTACAAAAATATTACTGATATATTATATAATGTTAATGTTTTTATATAATGTTAAAATATTACAATAATAATACTGATATATTACGTCTATATGTAACATTAAAAGATTACTGTAATATTGTATTGCAGAATATATGTAACATTAAAAGATTACTGTAATATTGTATTGCAGTATATCTCATCCCAAGTAGCAAGATGATGTCAAATGATGTCAAATGACGTGATGATGTCATTTTGTTTACAAATGGCGTCACTTTCGAAATATCGGAAGTTAAATGTTGAAAAAATTACTAAGTTCTCCTTAAATATTTCAAAAAATATTAGGCAAATAAAAAGATGTTTCCAATAAAAGTTGTTCAAATTAATTGGTAGAAAAAGATGATATAATAAAAAATTAGGGTTTCTATTTAAGAAAAATAATGATCAGTGAATATCTCGAAAGTGGCACCATTTATAAACAAAATGATATAGTTGTTATACGTTCTCTTGAAACCATACAACTTTTGTCTGAAACATTTTTTTCTAAAATGTTTAGTTGTTGAGATATAGCAGTTATAAAATTTTAAAATAAAGGCAGGAAAGTCCGAATTAAGAGACGTAAATACATCACAGAAAACTGAATTGCTTATATCTTCAGAAGGTAAAAATAATTAACAAACATAATATTTCAACGATAATATTTCAAATCTAATATTAAATTAACTAATATAAAATTAATTCCTATGGAAGAAACATTCAAATATTGAGTGTTTATACTCAATTATTCGAATTTACTCTCAAATATATGGTATACTCAAATTTGAGTGTTTCTTCCGTAAGAGAATTTTATAACTTTACAGTATTACAGTAATATTGTTGTAGTACTATTATATATCACTGTGACAATATTAGTATGATATATTGTTACAATATTACTGTAATATATCACCATAATATTACTGTGATGCATTTCGGCGGACATTTTAATATTACTATAATATCACTGTAATAATGTAGTAATATTTCTACCATATTACGTTGTAATATTGCAATGGAGAAGTAATATTATTGTGATATTGCTGTAATGTTATGTGTTATGTGAGATATATGTATCGATCAGTTTAAAAAAGATTAATAAGACGTCTTAAGGGGGGATTCTGTAGTGTAGATATCCTTTACTTAGCGGACTCAATGATAATAAACAGCAGATATTTCTGAAGAATTTGGGTAAGTAATCTTATACCTGCTCAGAGGAATATAAAAATAGTTAAATAGTTGAAATCGCTGCTTTCATTACTGCAGGCATCTTCAACGAAGGCTATGCAGTTCTAAAGATTATGGAAACCCTGATATCAAATTTGATATAAAAGTTGGACCGACATGCAAAATGTTTGTTGATAAGATCGACGCCGGCCGCACGAAACAACAAGAACAGTCGGAGCCTAAGCAGCACTAAAGATGCTCGATTGGCTCGAAAATAGCAATTAATTGATCAAAACGAGATGTATGAAAAAACTGAAGGCTTGTTATATGGTCCTGGAATAACGGATTAATGAAAAATTGAAGTAAGATTAAGACAAAAACTCAATTTTTTCTAGCATTTTTCTATATCGTAAACTATTATTGTGTTTTTCTCGACATCACGTTTTCAGAATTGGCGGTCGTGATTATTCTAAAACTATTCAAGCAGTCAACTTGCCCTTATGCATATAAACAGCTAACATGTGTCATTTGTTGGTGAATCTATCCGATCCAAAAAAAAATTTGTTTAAATAATATTTTTTAAATAAAAACGGACGAATTTGTAGGATAAAAATAGTATTTTTTTCTTTTTTAATCCGCCATTTTGTTAATTTTCGACTTTTTAAAAATATTTTAAGTTCACTGATGAACTGAGTATTATCTTTGAAAACTTTTGTGGCTTTTTTGTTTTAAATAATCTTGCGAAGAAATATTACTATCGCCGATTTGCATCTAAATTTTGGACACTTCGGACATCCGCCCTTATATTTCGAAAATGTTGCAACTTTTGTACCCAAAAAAATTTAATTATATACTTCAAATATAGTACAATATATCCCTAAAATCTCAAAAAGATTTATTGTTTTTATTACGCAGAAAAAATTGCTGAAAATAGCCTTATTTTTAGGCTTTTACACCAGGATCCCTCCTTAAAGAATCTTGTTATGTGGACGTTGAAAACAGAAAAATATTTTACTCATTATCGTTTATCTGATTAAAATCTGATTAAAATCGATCGAGAATTATGATTAGACTGTGGATTTGCTTATCCGTCGTCAGGATTAGAATTAAATATCTATGAGAATTAGTGGACGACGATAATGTCCAGTAACTTATGTTTTAAACTTTAAAGCGTATGGAGCTGAATACCAGTATTTAATAATTTGCTGCCAAATACCAGTATAAATTTTTTAAAGTCAAATACACTCGATGCCGGATATTATCATTATCTGTCATTAGCTGTCATTACAATAAATTGAATAAATTGAGTAAATTGAATAAAACGAGTATATTTTCTGTCATTCTAATTTATCACACTAGTGTAATATAGTTGAGAAGTTTTTCGGAAACAAGTGGATCTGTTAATAATCTAAACTCTATACAAGATGGGTGGACAAATCCATAGTTTATGGATGCGTTAAGGCTATTACGAGGGTCATTCAAATATAAACCGGATTTTTACCTGCGTACTCAGAAAGAGCCACAAGCGGGCCAAGGCGCTTCAGGAAGTTAGGTAGAGATGTGTAGAGGAGAGCAACCCCCTGCAACCTCAGTCGCTGTTCCCTCGTCAGTAGCACCATGACTGAATAAGTACCTACGACTGTTGCGCAACGCATTATCATTCGATTTCTCGCTAACGAAGGCGTCAAACCAACTGAAATGTTAACCAGACTCCAAGCACAGTTTGGAGATGGTACCCAAGTGTCAAGAACCCAAGTGTTTGATTGGGCCAAAAAATTTCGCAGTGGTCGTAATGCTGTGGAAAACGAAAGTCACGAACATCGTCCGCGATCGAATGTCACTGATGAGAATATTCGGGCCGTTCGCGAACATGTGGAAGATGACTGGCGCTTAACTGTTGTCGAAATCTCATCGGAGGTGGGCATAAATATTGGGAGTCATATAATTTTCTCGGAATACCTTGGATACCATAAGATGTCAGCGAGGTGGATTCCACGTCTCCTCACTGAGGCACAGAGAAATGTCCGGAAAGACATCTGTCAGCGGCTTTTGAATCGCTTCGAGAAAGAAGGAGAGGCATTTTTAAAACGAATTGTGATCTGTGACGAAACGTGGATTCACCACTATATCCCAGAGAACAAGAGGACGAGTATGGAGTGGAAAAAAGTGGAGAGAGGGCCCCAATCAAGGCCAGAACTCGCCTGTTAGCAGGGAAAGTTCTCGCGACTGTATTTTGGGATTCGAAAGATGTGTTACTCATTGATTTTCTTCACGACAGAAGAACGGTGAATGCAGCATATTATTGTGAACTGCTGGACAACGTGAGACCTGCTTATCGCAATAAACGACGCTAGCAACCCATTCGCGATGTTCTGCTTCTCCATGACAACGCGCGGCCTCATACAGCAGCCTTAACCCGCGATAACTCAAAGAAATGTACTGGACCATTTGAACACCCTCCTTACAGTCCCGATTTATCCCCATGTGACTTTCACATGTTTGGACCCCTGAAGGAGGCTTTAAGAGGAGAAAGATTTAACGACGACGCAATGGTTGAGCAATACGTGCGCAATTGGCTGTTGGAGTGCCCTTCTTCTTTTTTTGATGAAAGGATCAAGAAGCTACCTATCCGGTGGAGAAAATGCATTTCCGTTGAAGGGAACTATGTAGAAAAATAATATATCGCTTTTGTAATTTTATCTGTTACCAATAAATCTGTAAAAAAAATCCGGTTTATATTTGAATGGCCCTCGTAGTACCAGCAGGGCAAACATTACCAAAACTGTTTGTGCAGTCAATAGCGCAATAATGATAGCATTACTGCATCATACAGCATGTTTGAACATCTCTTCAGTTTTAACATTCCGAACATTTATTCCAACATGTGATCGTCTATTACGTACATGAATAATAGCAAACTAATAAGTACGACGTACCGATATTATTTGACAATTATTTGCAATGACAGATGTACAATTCACAGCGTTCTTAACGTTCACGGAACTTGCAAACGGTAACGCTATCTATGTATAATACTACCTACTTTGGGAGGAATAGTGTCGATAGTTTTGACACACGCGCTAA